GGGACCTGGTAGATCATCAAGTCTGACCCCCTGCCTTGGGCAGGAGAGAAAATTGGGCTCAAATGACCCCAGCCAGGTAGACGTCAAGCCTCCTCTTAAAGACCCCCAGGGTAGGAGCCAGCACCACTTCCCTTGGAAGTTGGTTCCAGATCCTAGCTGCCCTGACTGTGCAGTAGTGCCTTCAGATGTCTAGTGTAAGCATACTCTCTAACAATTTGTGGCCGTTATTCCTTGTTACCGTGGGGGGTGCTAGGGGGAACAGGGTCTCTCCCAAACCCTGCTGGTCCCCACTAGTGAGTTTATAGACAGCCACCAGGTTCCCCCTCAGTCTTCTCTTGCGAAGGCTGAACAGGTTAAGGTTCCATAGCCTCTCTTTGTAGGGTCTGCCCTGCTGCCCCTTAACAGGAAATTCTGAGAGACCTATAGACCTATACATTCTTTTAGCTGAAGGCAGGGTACAGGTGTACCTTATAGATAGATTAACTGAATACATAAACTGAGACATAAGGTTATGTTAGTCATAGCTCATTTTATCAGGTGCTATGGAAGGACTACATGGCTAACATGGCTAACATGGCTAAGTACCTCTCTCTAACATGGCCTAAGTACCTCTCTCTGTTCTTCCAGATGGAGAACATAGTGTATTCTGTCCCATACAGACATACTGGAATATGAAAAAGAGAAGGAACTGGCTTCTACCAAAATCAGCCTATTTCCATAGAGCTATATAAACCTGTGTTGCATCTCCTTTGGGTCCCTGTATGAGTACTGGGACCACCCGTGCTTAGATCAGTTTGCAGTCATGGGCTCTTACTGTTAGGGTCTCCAGTTTTTATTATGTGGTTTCATATGAAGAACTGTACAATTGGAGCTATGCTGCCAGATGTACTCCTTCCTACCACTTATCCTGGAGTCCTCCTTGAGCAGTATGATAGAAGGGAATGGAAAGCCAGGTAAGCTGATGCTGATTGAATCAGATTTACTTACTGTTTAAGCTTCTGCAGACCTGGAGGAGAAGAGATGCTGTGGAAATAGCACTGTCCTCTCATCCAAGTCTAGGTAATTTTCATCTGCTATTCCTTCCTTCCCTTCAAGGTAGAGACCGTATGCCCCTTAATTATACGTCAAGTACAAAATGCAATGGGATTTTCTAACCATCTTAATACTGATCATGCATTATGTGGAACGATTATGGACATTTATTAACTCAGATCTTAAATGATTGTAATGGCTGAAGGCCTTGCATTGATGATAGAGGTGTTCTGGCCAACCTTCTTCTTCAGGCACTGTAGAATGCAACACCTATCTGAACACACATGCCTGTATTTACTCTGTTTTATCTTGCCAGACAACCTTAAGATACCAGCAAGTATTCTATATTTTAGTTTTCACTGTGTATAAAAAACATATATATATACTATGGAATTTTACAATAGATGTGTCTACTTTTTCTTGTTCTGGATCAAGTGTCAAATTCTACTCAGTCTTATATCACACTCAATAATTGATTTAAAAGGAACTACTCCAAATCTACACTAATGGAAATGAGAGCAGTATTTGCTTCTAGATAGCTGTATCAGTAATATAGAAGACTCAATTTTGTCCTGGTATAAACCCAGGAGAGTTATATCAGGGATGAATTTGACCTGTTTTAACTCAGCTGTCCTGTTATCCTAAATGGTGGAATGAAAAGGGAAGGATGCAGTAAGAGACAGGGTATCATATCACATGAGGTCCAAGGTCCTAACATATAAAATGTAATCCAAATTGGACAAGATTCTGATATTAGTAACATCAGTGTAATTCTGAGTAATACCATGAATTTAACAGTGCTGGTATTCTATATTTACACTGGTGAAAAGGAAACAGAATCTGGCCTTATGCCTTGCTATAATTGTCTGTGATTTGATTCTGTTAGATTTTTTTGCTTAGGGTTAAAACTCTTGCAAAATGTATTGTCCCCTGACAGACAAACTTTATTCATCAAAACAAATATTATAATTTTAAAGCTTTGTTTACCATTACATCACATATGCAAAGTGTGTATGTGGGGATAATATTCAGTTTATGGAAGGGTTTCTTGCTTAGCTATGGCATGCTACTGTACCAGAGGGAAGCTGGCATCAAGTTGAATAGGATTACATGGAGTAGAAGGCCAGCTTTGTATGGGAGTTTCATAGATTCATAGTTTCATAGGAGTTAGGGGTTGGAAGGGACCTAAATAGATCATCTAGTCTGACCCCCGACCACTGGCCAGAGCACACGCTGGGAACACATGACCCCAGACAGGTGTTCATCCAACCTCTTTTTGAATTTACCCAAGGTAGGAGAGAGGACCACTTCCCTAGGAAGTTGGTTCCAGATTCTGGCCACCCTGACAGTGAAATAGTGCCTCCTAATCTCTAACCTGAACCTATTCTCCAGCAGCTTCTGGCTATTGTTCCTCGTCACCTCAGGTGCTGCTGAGGGGAATAGGACCCTTCGTATTTGCTGCTGATCTTCCCTAATGAGTTTATAGGCAGCCACCAAATCTCCCCTCAGCCTCCGTTTGCTGAGGCTGAACAGGTTCAGGTCCCTCAGCCTCTCCTCATAGGGTCTGCCCTGTTGCTCTCCAACCAAGTGGGTGGCCCTCTTCTGAACCCTCTCAAGGCAGGCCACATCCTTCTTAAAGTGCGGTGCCCAGAACTGGATGCCGTATTCCAATTGAGGCCGGACCAATGTCGTGTAGAGGGGGAGTATCACCTCTCTGGACCGACTTGAGATGCATGTTTGTATGCACGACAAGGTGCAGTTGGCTTTGCTCGCTGCGGTCTGGCATTGGCGGCTCATGTTCATCTTGGAGTCAATAATGACTCCAAGATCCCTTTCTGCCTCTGTGCTCACAAGGGGGGGTACTCCCCAGCTTGTATGTATGCTGTGTATTCCTTCTCCCCAGGTGAAGCACCCTGCATTTATCTACATTGAATCCCATCCTATTACCATCCGCCCATTTCTGTAGTCTATCTAAATCTAATTGCAGCCTCTCTCTCCCTTCGAGCATGCCTACCTCTCCCCACATCTTGGTGTCATCAGCAAACTTGGACAACGTGTCTTCCGCCCCCTCATCCAAGTTGCTGATGCAGATGTTGAACAGTGTAGGCCCCAGGACCGAGCCCTGGGGGACCCCACTATTAGAGTTGACACCCTAAGATCACAGTGTCTGTTCTGAACAATTCTTTTCTAAATAGGACTATGCTGCTGGGATTGTACAATTCAGTAACAATTTCTATTATACTTAAAATATATTTAAAGGTTACAAGAGTCAGCCCCAATAATTTTGTTTTATCTTAAAGCAATATCCTAAAAGATGCAGTCATAAATATTTTATGGAAAACTATAGCTAAATAAATCACTGCAAATTTGGATCCTCTATTGTTGTCAGTGGTTTTGCAACTATTTCATAGAAGACGTTAAATTTGCAGTTCAAGATTTTTTTTTAATTATCTTCAAATCTCATGAGCCATTCTGTAGACTAGATAACATTTTTGATTTTGAATTATTTTTCACTGTTTAGAAATATTCTTTACCCTTAGCTTGCCAGTAAATGCTAGTTAAATTAATTTAATTATTTGGAAACAGATATTAAAATGTGCTTCTTTGTGTAACATTCCATTTATATAAAATAAAGTTAGATTATCTAATAACTAATGATAATTATTATTTTAAACAAGCCTGCTGATTCTTGTTTGCAAGAACCTGATAAATAGTTTTTCTATTGATGATATATGTACAGTATATCTATTGCTATATGGCATTCTTTGGAGAGCCATTATTATTTAATGCATTGTTTTTCCTCTGCTATTGCTATGCAGCCAGTTCCTCTTGGTGTGGACCTGCAGGGGTTCTCTTTGTTCTTATCTTTGCACCCATGGGAGCCAGCACAAATTATGAAAGGGATTTTCCCTTACTATGACAGCTGTAACAACTTTGAAGGCATTCAGCTCTGCTCTTCCCAGGGCTAAGAGCATGGACTTCAACAAGTCAGACTGCCATATGTGGTAGCCAACTCTTTCAGAATGATGTCAGGGAAGAGGAGCAATATAGCATCTCACAGTGGCTGTCATCCAGTTTATGCACAAAATTTCAGGACTCTGGACCCGCCTGTCCTTTTTCCCTCTTTTCTGACAGTAGCTACAAGGATGTTACTGCAGTCCTAATGGAACCCATAGTTTGGAGAGATGGGACTGAGATTTCCATTTGGTTTTTCAAAGAAGAACCTTAGTTTGTATCTATGTGGATGTGACTCCACTGCTTCCAATCAAAAAAGGCAGTCTGCTTGAAGCAGCCTAGTATGTTTGATAGACCCCTGCCGAGTTTCCACCCATCAGGTCAGATGTGGTTCTTCTCCATTCCCACCTTACGTGTAAAGTCACCTCCTCTATGCACTGGTCTTGCCAGAGCATACGCAGATTATGCAGCTGTCTAGGGTGAAATCCCGTACTGAACTCATTGATTGACTGATTGAGGGAGATAGAGCAATTAATATCTAATCTACCACCTTATTCATCAGCAAGCATATATCTGTTATTCTGTTGTACACAATATTTACACAATACTGTTTTTATGTATGTCATTACTCTCTTATTAAATTACAGGAGAAATGGTGTCAGCTACTGCTGTCTGCTGCTTCAGTTAAAGCGATATAGGCAAAGAAATTACTGACAAAGTGGCATAAACTTGATTCTGATCACATTCACACTAGGTTAAAGTGGAGTTTCTCAAGATTTGTACTGATATAAGTGAGACCCAGAAAGACAGAGATTTATAGAATCTGCTTTTTCAGGAATACACATTTCAGCAAGAAATCAGCATATGACACGTGCCTTTATATTACAAGAAACAATGAGAGTATTAAAGGAATGAAGACAGATAGCTACAAATTCCTTGTTCAAGTATTCTTTCTGTTGTGGTTTAATTAACAAAAGCAAATATAAAAAATTGTATAAAATAAAAAAACATACATGTTCTGATGTGAAGGCAACCAGTCTGGGAATAGCTGCCATTCCTTTCTCTTTAACTTCTGGGAACATCTTGAAACGTGCAATCAACATAGCATACATGTTAGATATGGCACCACCTGGAGTCCACAGTAATACACTTGTTATTTTTTCTATGCATTAACATCATTTCAGTACTACATTTTGCTACAATTTTCCTAACACAAGGGCCTATATCAGGGAGCATGAATTCTCTGTATGTATTGTTTCTCTATGGGGGGAATATACCAAATTAATCTATTGCCCCAAAACTCAACGATAATGCATATTAGAATTTAGACAGCACATAATAGGATTGTGAGCTGTCCCTGCTTATCTTCCCTCCCCTTCTCAAATTTCTCCCTCTGTTTCCTGAAAGCAGCTGCATACATTGCTAGCATATATTCTCATACACTCTGATCTTATACATAAAAAGGCAAAGAACTTCCTTCAAATGCTATGTGATACCAGAGACCAGTGAGGGAACCTCCTTGTTTGTTGCAAAGTGGTTGCCAGAGGATGCACCACCAGGTAAAAGCATCAGGATAGCAAGAAAAAAAACACAGAAGAAAAAAAAGGAAAAAGGGACATTTGGCCAGCTATTGTTCTGTTTACTTGAAAATGTTAGAAAATGCACCTGGTCATAGGACTGGGGCCAAGGGAAAATATCTCTAGCCATATCTATTAAAATCATTAGCATATATAGATTAAATATATCAATTTCAAGTATTGAAGCAATATTCTAAATCTATGGCAGAATAGTGTTTTCAACAGAATTGATCAATGCTTAAACGATTTAGGCATGGGTTAGTGAAATGGAACTCTTCATTTTTTCTTTCTTAAAATCTATGTAAGGTATGCCTTTGCTTCTGCAATGAATCCAGAAGGTAATACCTGGATATTGTAGAATACTGAATCATCACTATGGGAATGTAATATACATCCTGGTTTAGAATGTTATAATATTTCTATGTCTACTCAATTGTTATAATTTATGTTCCAAAATGATAGGCCATATTGTCAGGTAGTGTAAATCAAAGGAACTCCATTGAGGGCAATGAAATTATACCATATTACATCAGCTGAGGGATACGGTCTGGTAAATTTAATCTTGTTTCGGCTTTTGGCTGGTTTATTTTTAGCATGGTGAGCACGGCGTTATGTACTCTGCTTCATCGTGCAGTTGGAACCGTGCTTGTAATGCCATTCCTAACTAGCCCCCCAGTTTAGGGGTTTCCTTTAAATTGAGACTAGTTTTCAATTAATTATTTTTTCCGCTAATTATATCTCATTTGCATTGGTATACGTTATTATTAGCTCTAGTGAAGCCAGTGGAGTTGCTCCAGTATTAAATAGGTGTGAGCACAGAAGCAAGCCTGCAGCTGATTTATTTTACACAATCTTTTGTATATATATTTCAATCCCTTACTATACAAATGAAGAAACTGTAAAAGAGGAAGTAAAGCCAACACTTTCAAATGTATATCCCCAAAGGATTCAGTGTCTAACTACAGCATTAGATACCTAAGTTAAGGCATCCTAGTGGGAAAAATTTGGTCCAAGTGAGATGTCCAAGATCGGGGGTGAGTCACAAAACAGAAAACAAAGATGGTTTTGAGTATTGCCTAAACAAGTAGATCTAGCACAGCTGCTACTGCTTCTTCAGCAGAGTGACTCATAAATAAGAATGAATGACATGAGGCTGCACCCCAAATGGGAATTGCACATATATGCATTTCAGAAAATCAGGACCTACCATAACGTGGAGCAGAAATTGTCTGCCCCAAGAATTCACTCTGCAGGCCCTTTGTACAAGGTACTGCAGAAGTATATGCTGAAGTGAGGGAGAGTGAGAGGTAGGGGAAAGGAAGCAGAATTTGCATTTACCATGACTGAGAAATGGTCCCTACATGCAACTACTTTCTTTTTTTTATGAAGATTATCCCTACTTTGACCAGACAAGAAAGACAGCCTACTCTGGCCATAAGAGGCCATACCTGTTTTAAAACCTGTTTAAAAGAGGTTTGTATAAAGGGCTTCTGCTAGTCAAAATATCAGCATTCATTCTAGTGGCTAAATAACAGTTCCATAATTAGATCCACTGAGTGAAATCTGGCCCCAGTGAAGGCCATAGCAAAACTTCTACTGACTTTACTGGGACCAGCCAATGGGGCTCCCACTCTTTGTATGTTTTGTTGCTCACTCCATCCTAGATAGCTGTTTACCAGAGTTAAAAGGACTTCATACTTGAAACAGGACCTTTGTCTTAGAGTGCTGCTCTTCACATCTAGCAATAAAAAGGTATATGTAATTATACTTCCCATCTCTACTGTCAGATCTGTTGGCCTGGCACTGTTACTATTAATCATTTTTTCCTAATAGTTTTCTTTGCAATTCAATAGGGCTGCACCACCATGTAATTTCAGCAGCTGACAACTACCTAAAGTGCAGTGAGTGGGACAGGCTGGCATCTACACATGCAGGTGTTAAAGTGCATTAATGCTGTGTGTGGACTGACTTGGGACTAAAGTTAGTCCCAAGACAGTCTGCAAACACAGTGTTACTGTGCAGTAAGGCATCTACATGTGTGTTACTGCACAGTAACTAATCGGGCATAAAGCTGATACCTGCATCATGCAGGTATCAAATTTAGGCTTAAGTTGGCATAAGTCGGCATATTTACTGGGCAGTATGGGCATACATGTGTAGATGCATGCCTGTATTGCGCAATAATTTTGGTTACTATGCAGTAAATGTGCACATGTAGACATGCCCAGTAAGTATACACCCAGGAATCCCCCAGCTGCTGTTATATTTCTTAGTGGCACCATTTGATTACTAGGAATGTGCAGAATAATTAGCTAAAAGGCAAACAAATTCTTTATATCTGAGCGAGTAGAAACTTAAATGGAGCTTTAATTTTGTACCTGAGTCTGGATTGCTCCTTACTAACTCAGTGAGGAGTAGGGAGTATGCGGTATTTCTCAAGTACACTAGACTTGATTATGTGCACAGCAAAACAAAAGATAACATACATTAGTTAAGGTAAAAATGAAACCCAGAGAAGCACAATACCACTAGTTAACAGAACACACTGTCAACTTGTATGATACAGGGTCCTAAGGAAAATCTCTAAGGCTAGGTGATGCCTTTAGAGGCTAGGAGACAAATATAAATGCCATATAAACTGTGGAGTAAGTTGCATATTGAGTGTAAAGTTGGTCATAGAACAGATGCAGTGTGATTAAAGTATGTTAGAAATAATAAAACCAAGGAAAGTTGAGGTCCTTTACTAAATGCAGAGTACATTTGAGTCAAGAATGTGTTTTTTACTTCAGTCTTCAAGAGTGAGATCAGCTACCAAATGACAAGCACAGATGACAGCAAGGATAGGGGAGCAGATAAGCAGCCTAAAGTAGTAGAACAGGTTAGGGATTACTTAAACAAGATGGATGTTTTGAAGGCAGCAGGGCTGGACGAGTGCATCCTAGAGTACTGAAGACATTGGCTAAGGTATTTTCAGAGCCAGTAGCTATTATGTTTGAGAATTGTGGAGATCAGGTGAGGTCTCAGATGACTGGAAAAGTGCAAATATAGTGGAAAAAAAGAAAGAAAAGAAGGAGGAATAATAGACCAATCAATCTGAGCTCGATACCTGGAAAGATGTTGGAGCAGGTCATCAAGTAATCTGTTTTTAAGCACCTAGAGGAAGAAAAAGTGATCAGGAAAAGCCAATATGGATTCATCAAGAGCAAGTCATGCCTGAACAACCTGATTTCCTTCTGTAACAAGGTGACAGGTTCTATGGAGGCAGAGCAGTAGATTTGCTATACCTTGATTTTAGCGAGGCTTTCTGCACTGTTTCCTCATGGTATTCTCATTAACAAGCTAAGGAAATACAGTTTAGATCAATGATTCTTAACCCGGGCACTATGGTACCCAGGGTGTCTTGAGATCCTTTCAAGGGTGCCACTGGATGCCACACAATATTAGCACTGTTATATGTACAAACATAATTCAGAAGATAAATTGAGAGATTTCAAATAGGAATCCATAGTGTCAAAAACATTCTGACCTGTTGTAGTCTAGAAAAACTCTTCTGTTATTTTTCCGTAGGCAAAAAATAGTGAAATCTAAGAGCTAGCATCTTCTGAGGGGTGCCTTGAGTCTAAAAAACTTGAGAACCACTGATCTAAATGGAAGTACTGTAATGTGGATACATAACTGGTTGGATCATTGTGCTTAAAGAGTAGTTATCAAGAGTTCTATGTTTTACTGGGAGGAGGTATCAAATGGGGTGCCCCAGGGTGTCTGCCCTGGGTCTGGTATTGATTAATGTCTTCATTAATCATGTGGAAGAATGGATTGAGTATACACTTAGCAAATCTGCAGATGACCCCAAATTGTGTGAGATTGCTGACACACTGGAGTGTAAGATTAGGTTTCAGAATTACCTTGGTAAACTGGAGAAATGGTCTGAAATTAATTGAATGAAACCCAGTAAGGACAAGTGCAAAGTCTTGTACTTGGGATGGGACAATAACATGCATAAATACAGACTGGGGAATGACTGGTTAGGCTGTAGTACTGCAGAAAAGGAGCTGGGATGGTAGGGGGTTACAGTAGATCACAAGCTGAATATGAGTCGACAGTGTGCTTATGTTGCAAAAAAGGCCAGTAGCATACTGAGCTGTATTAAGAGAAGTGTTGGTTGCAAGTCAAGCGAAATGATTCTTCCCCTCTATCTAGCACTGGTGAGGCCTCACCTAGAGTACTGTGTCCAGTTTTGGACCCCATACTTCAAGAAACATCTGGAAAGATTCAAAAGAGTCCAGCAGAAAGCAACACAATTGATTAGAGATCTGTGAAACATGACTTACAAGGAGAGGCTGAAGGAAGTAGTATTATTTAGTCTGGAAAAGAGAAGATTAATGGGGGATTTGTTAACTGTTTTCAAATACCTAAAGGTATTTATAGAGAGAATGGTGATAGAGATGGTTCTCTGTGGCTGCAGAGGACAGAGCAAGGAGTAACAGCCTTAAATTGCAGCAAAGGAAATTTAGGGTGGAGATTAGGAAGAACTTTCTCACCATTGGAACAGAGGTTGTGGAATCTCCATCCTTGGACTGTTTAAAAAGCTGGTTAGACAAACACTTCTCTAGCATGGTTTATACAGAAATGATCTTGCCTTGACTAGGTGGTTGGACTAGATGACCTCCTGAGGTCCTTTTCAGCCCTGTTTTTCTATGATTCTGTGATTCTAAGTGGTGTCAGTTCTGAGGTCCTCTTGCTTTATCATATCTTTACCTTGTTTCTCTCATGTGGGACAATATGGTCTGTTGGACAGGGCCCTGACTACAGAGCAGGAGTACCAGGTTCTGTTCACAGAGCTGCTGCGTCACTCTGGGCAAGTTGATTCTCCCCACTACCTCTATTTCCCCTCCCATCTGTTATCTGTTCAGATTGTCAAATCTCTGGGATAGGGACTCATCCCATACTATGTACTCATACATTCCATCTGTACAATGGGACCATGATCTTTGTCCATGCCTGTAGGTACCACTGTAATATAAACAGTGTCTTGTTACTCCTCCTCCTCAATTACCCCTTGATGACCATATGCTGTTCACTTTGCTAATTCACTTACTGCCAAATCAGTATCAGTTATACCGCTTTAACCCAATGCTCTCTCTTTCTCACTCTCTCTTTTCTCTGACCCTCCTAACAGCTGGCATGTAAATTACCCTATAGTTTATGTCACCCTTTGGGCCATAGTGTATCACAGGACTTGACCAACTTAGTTCAGACTGAATTTGATCCACAATCCACACAAAGCTGTAGAGCCATGTACTCACTGACTGTCACGTAGTCACAATGCAGGCCAAAAACGAGACCACAATGAAACCAATAATTTTC